AAAGATAAAACTTCAGAATCACTAAAGATTAAATAAACAGGAGGGGCCATCCAGGCTGATGATATAAAACCATCCTCGAGGCTGATTCCCAGTCTGATCCTTAGACTTCAGAACTCTCTTCCAACATGGCCCAAGACAACTCTCCAAACAGTAAGTTCCCCACACACCTGACTAAAGTTTCCATTTCATTGGTTTGGGGAGGAAATTTGGACTAAAAACCTACTGGGCTTGTCAGAAGTTGTGGGAATTCCATTTTTAAACTTTGAAATAAGTGTACTAGGATTAGGGAAAACCAGTTTCTCTCACGTGAGATGAAAATATGCTGTTTTCGGGCGCCTGGGTGGCTTGGTTGGGCGACTGCCTTCGGCTCAGGTCATGATCCTGGAGTCCTGGGATCGAGTCCCGCATCGGGCTCCCTGCTCAGCGGGGAGTCTGCTTCTCCCTCTGACCCTCCCTCCTCTCATGTGCTCTCTCTCTCATTCTCTCTCTCAAGTGAATGAATAAAATCTTTAAAAAAAAAAGAAAGAAAATATGCTGTTTTCTGAGCATTGAGCATTGGGGATTTCAGAAAGATACAGGCATTCAAGAACCAAACAAGATAGATTCTTGCTTCAGGAAGAAGAAAAGGGAGAGAGATACACTTAAAAAAAAAAAAAAACTATGGGAGGTATGAGAAAGTTCAGAGACCAGAAGATCTTTGAAATCAAAGAAGCTTCTAGATTTCTCTCTCCAGACTCAACTTTTCTCCAGAACTTTGGATTTGTCTATCTAACTTGTTTACTTGTCTCTAACCAGCATCTCAAACTCAACATGTCCCAAACTGGACCCTCCATGTTTCCACCCAAACTCTCCCTCCCTGAGTTTATCCTCACTCAGGACATGCCGGGTGCCCAGGCCAAAAAAATCTAGGAAACATCCTCGACCCATTTTTCTCTTATGACCCACATCTAATCAGGCTGGAAATTTTGTTGGTTTTAACTTTCAAATATTTTAGGAATCTGACCATTTTTTTGGTCCATCCCCACAAGGCCCTATGAGGCCCTATATAATCTGCTTTCCCCGCCTCATCTGAGGTCTAGGACCTCACCTGCTTATGCTTTATTTCCTCTTCTGCAGGCTGTGTAACCTTGCTGTCTCTTCAATAGGCCAGGCAGGCTCCCACGGCTATCCCAAGTCCCTGCAGTGAGCCTCTCTAAGTGTCAACATGGCTCCTTCTCTCATTTGCTTCAAGTCTTTGCTCAAGTCATTTTCTCAGTGAGGTCTTCACTAATTACTTCACTTGAAAATGTGACCTTACCCTGTGCATTCTCTCCTTTCCCTCCTTCCTTCTTTTTTGCCATGGGAATACTTACCATCTGACATACTATATATTTCACTCATTTGCTTTCTATCTCCTGACTCTCTGTGAGGTCAGGGCTATCTTGACTGTTTTGTTCACAGTGCCTAGGATAGGGTCTGGCTTTTTAATAGGCACTCTAGAAATATGTTTTTGAACAATTAAAATCCCCATAATTGCAAGCATCTGGCTTTATCTAACTTTTGAACTGCAGTTTTCAATTATGATGTCTTTAGTTCCATCAATTTTTCCCATTGCATTTTGGCATTTTATTTAAGTAACTCTTTCCGATCTCAGTGTAACATAGGTTTTCTTGTACATAATCTTCCATTTACTGTTACATTTTACATGTCTTTAATTTGGCATTGTAAAATATACTGTATATTGTATGGCTCAACTTCATTTTTCTTCACACAGTAAGCCATTCTCTTTACCCAACACTATCCTTTCCCACTGATTTTGGAGGCTATAGCCATTCCAAGTTCTCACATATAACAGGCTTTCTGTTCCTTGGCTTTCTATTTGGTTCCATTTGTCTACTTGTCTGTTTCTGCATGAGTACCATAGGAAAAAAATTTCTACTAATCTATTTCAACTGGATAATTAAATCTATCATCATGGGGCGCCCGGGTGGCTCAGTCGCTAAGCGTCTGCCTTCGGCTCAGGTCATGATCCCAGGGTCCTGGGATCGAACTCTGCGTCAGGCTCCCTGATGAGCGGGGAGCCTGCTTCTCCCTCTGCCTCTGACTGCTGCTTCCCCTGCTTGTACACACTCTCTCTCTGTCAAAAATAAATAAAATCTTCAAAAAAAAACCTGTTATCTTTATCCTTTTTTTAACAAAATATATAATCTACTTTGTGGGCTTTTATCCTCCCTGCACATTTTAGGTTGCCCTCAAAATCCTGTTTGGTTCTTCTCAGAAAACACAGCCCTAGTCTCATCATAGAAAAATACCAGATAAACTCCAATGAGGTTCTACAAAATATCTGCTCAGGACTCCTCAGAACTGTCCATATCATGAAAAACTAAGAAAGCCTGAGAAACTGTCAGAGCCAGAGGGAGCCTAAGGAGACATGATGACCCAATGTAGTATGGTACCTTGAATAGCATCCTACAACAGAAAAAGGATATCTGGTAAAAAATTTTTTGGTAAAAAACTTTAAAAATGTGAATAAAGTATGGACTTTAGTTACTAATAATGTATCAGTATTGATTCGTTAGCTGTGACAAATATCCTGTACTAATATAAGATGTTAATAATAGGGGAGGGGTACCTGGCTGACGGAGTTGGTAGAGCATGCGACTCTTGACCTTGGGGTTATGAGTCTGAGCTCCACATTGGGTATAGAGATTACTTTTTAAAAAGTACAGTGAACAATAGGGGTTACCGGGTGTGGAATACATGGGAACTCCTCATACTATCTTTGTAACTTCTGTAAATCCAAACATCCTAAAATAAGGTTTACTTGGTATTTTCGTTTGGAAATGCAGTTCCGTCGGTAGACATTTAAGATGGTCACTACTACCAACACTATGGCAGTGACTATCCATTTGCATCACCCAGATGTACATGTGTCGTCGGCTCCTCTAGGGTATAGACTCAGGAAGGGAATTATTAAGCTGTAACTCTGTCTGGAACTTTGTGCCCCCCAACACCCCCCTCCAACTCCCCAGTCAGAGACGAACTGGACCTTGATACTGCTCTCAAGGAGCCTTTAGCTTATTGGGCTAAAACATGCCCCAGGATTGATGAAGGAGATCTTACTGGGGTGCCCGGGTGGCTCAGTCGGTTAAACATCTGCCTTCGGCTCAGGTCATGATCCCAGGGTCCTGGGATTGAGTCCCACATTGGGCTCCTTCTCCCTTTGCCTGCCACTCCCTTTGCTTGTTCTCTCTTTCTCTCTCTCTCTCTGACAAATAAATAAAATTAAAAAAAAAAAAGAAAAATCTTACTCAGTTTTGATCTCTTTGCTTTCCTCCTTCCTTATGTTTCATCTTACTTTTGTTCTTCCTCATCTCTGCCTCCCAGCCCAGCCGCTAACTGTAGTGTCTCAGGAAGCCCTAATCTGCTTATCTCTTCCCCTACTCCCTAGGGAGTTGGTCTGGGTTAGTTAGAGGTTCTACTACAGCTACTTAAGGGCTTTCCTTTAAGCTTTTTATTGTAAAGGAATTTTTCCTTCTAAGAATGGATAGTCAAGGACCTGTGCACAGAGAATAATGTAAGTGATGGTATAAGATGGGCGGGGTCCTGTGAGAGTTTTGTTTCGTTTTGTTTTTTTTACCTAAGGTCAACCTCGGAGCCAATCACTTTGCCATCAGAAAGATTAATCACAGGGGCACCTGGGTGGCTCAGTTAAATGTCTGCCTTCTGCTCAGGTCATGATCCCAGGGTCCTGGGATCGAGCCCCAAGTCAGGCTCCCTGCTCGGCGGGGAGCCTGCTTCTCCCTCTCCCTCTGCCCCTCCCCCTGCTCGTTCTGTCTCCCACGAGCTCTCAAATAAATAAATAAAAATCTTAAAAAAAAAAAATTCTGTCGCAGACTATTTGGAGCATGGAGCACGGTCCTTAGACTGGAGAGTCAGGGAAGGACTCAGAAGATAATGCTCAAGCTGGAACCTGTCGTAAAGGTGCAAGTTAGTCCATCACCGTGGGAAGAGCATCACAGGAAGAGAAGAACCAGTACCAAGCTTGAAATAGGAGGAAGTTGGCCTGGTTGGGGGACAGAAAGAAGTTAGGTGTGGTGGCTGGAGGACACACCTGTTTCAGGGTATAAGGCCAAGTAGGTCACTAGGTGATGATGTCAAAGATATAGGTAAGGCCTGGGATGCCTGGGTGGCTCAGTCGGTTAAGTGGCTGCCTTCAGCCTGGGTCATGATCCCAGGGTCATGGAATCGAGTCCCCCATTGGGCTCCTTGCTCAGCAGGGAGCCTGTTTCTCCCTCCGCTTGTGCTCTGTCAAATAAATAAAATCTTAAAAAAAAAAAAGATATATGGGTGCCTGGGTGGCTCAGTTGGTTAAGCGACTGCCTTTGGCTCAGGTCATGATCCTGGAGTCCCGGGATCGAGTCCCACATTGGGCTCCCTGCTCAGCGGGGAGTCTGCTTCTCCCTCTGACCCTCCCCCCCTCATGCTCTCTCTCTCTCTCCTTCTCTCTCCCAAATAAATAAATAAAATCTTTAAAAAAATCATTAAAAAAAAAGATATAGGTAAGGGCCTGATCAACATGGTATGATTTAAGAGGAATTGTGGGTGACAGTAAAGTTAACTTTCCCCTTTCAGGGATCACATAATGTGGGGTACCTGGGTGGCTCAGTCGGTTGGGCATCTGCCTTCAGCTCAGGTCATGATCCCAGGGTCCTAGGATTGAGCCCCATGTCCAGCTCCCTGCTCAGCGGGGAGCCTGCTTCTCCCTCTCTCTCTGCTGCTCCGCCTGCTTGTGCTCTCTCTCTCTCAAATAAATACATAAAATCTTAAAAAAAAAAACACAGAACACATTTGTGTGTTTAAGGGCTTTATAACTGTGGCAGAGTTCTTTCCTATTGGGTTCTGGTGGATTCCAAATGAAAAGAGGAAATCAGACACTAGCCTGAGCCTGAAGTTTGAAATGTTTAAGCTGGCCTATTAAATGCTTCTTCTTTCCTAATCTTTCCAAAGAGACCATAACAATGAATCAGAGACGCAGCCGCACCAAATTCACAGAAGATCAATTGAAAATCCTCATCAAGGCATTTGACCAAAATCCTTACCCAGGTTATGCTACCAAACAAAGACTTGCTTTAGAAATCAACACTGATGAGTCCAGAATCCAGGTAAATTACAAATTCTATATCTCCAAGGCTAGAATTAGAATGGGAGAAGAGGAAACTGTTGATCAAGCACATGTTATGAGCCAGTCTGCTAAGGGCTTTGTGTGGATTATCTTTTTTTTTTTTTTTGGTGGGCAGCAAAGCAAAGTTTATTGAGGGATAGTAAAGTTTACTGAGCAATAGTACAAAGCTCCTCAAGAGGGAGAGGACCAGAGAGGGTTGCCCTGGAGTATCTTGATTGACACCCAGAATGAACTCACAAGGATGTTGCTCTTTGTCTCACTTCACAAATGTGGGTACTGAGGATCAAAGAGGAAGGAAGTATGTAGGTACTCCTTCAGAGAAGAGGAAATGCTTGAGCTGGTTGTTAAATGCATAACTGCAGTATCTATTTATTAACTTAAAAACATTATTATAGTCATGTTGGGACCAGATTGTGAAGATGCTAAATGCCAATCCTTGACCTAAGACTTAGTCAGATGTGACAGGTATCAGTAACAATCCTGAGCTTTGATCTAATAAGAATCACACACACACTGAAGACAGGCAGTGATGAGGTTAAGATGACATAAACATACTTAATTCTCTCATTTTCTTTTCTCGCTTAAGATTTGGTTTCAGAATCGAAGAGCTAGGCACCAGTGCCAGAAAAAATCAGAACCCAATGAGGACCTAGAATCAAGTCAAGACCAAGATCACTCTGAAGAGGAGATTCAAAGTAAATAGTCTGCTCCAGTCCTATTCCCCAGCAGAGGCTCTTGGGTAACCAGTGCCTCTCTACACTGGAGCTAACTACTACTCTGAGTGGGAAAAGAATGTTCTCTCCCTGGACCTCTTGATCAGGGTCTTCTGGTTCAGGGTTCAGCATGGAACCTGGATATTCTTCCCCGCATGATTCATGGATCTTCTTCTTCTTCTTTTTTTTTTTTTTTTTAAGATTTTGTTTATTTATTTGAGAGAGAGGAAGGGAGAGAGAGAGAGAGCGAGCATGAGAGTGGGGTGAGGGCCAGAGGGAGAAGCAGACTCCCTGATGAGCAGGGAGCCTGATATGGGGCTTGATCCCGAGACTCCGGGGTCATGACCTGAGCCAAAGTCAGATGCTTAACCGACTGAGCCACCCAGGCACCCCGGTTCATGGACCTTCTGAGACTCTCCTCTGCTTACGTTCTAACCTAACCATATACTGCATCTCCTCTAGAACCTTCTGCCTGGAATAAGCTGGGGCAAGGCCCTCTTAAGGAGAGGAAACGGGTTCCAAATTAGATGGGAGACAGAGTGGGACATGTTTGGGTTCGTTGTTTGAATATGTAAACTGACCTCTGAAATGTTCCTTGACCCTCAGTCTTACATCTGTCCCAGGTAGAGAAGACAGACGGTGTCGTACCAGCTATACTTCTTCACAATTACACACCCTCATCGAGGCATTTATGAACAACCCTTATCCTGGCATTGATACCAGAGAGCAACTTGCTAAAGAAACTGGCATTCCAGAGTCAAGAGTCCAAGTAAGTGTTGAAGAATTCGACTGCTCCATCCCCTAGGGATGGAGATGTATGGGAAGGGGAGCCATGTGGACATGACAGGCACATTCCCACTCCAGGGTCTTTCCACAAGCTGTTCTCTTCATCTGGTAGGTTCTAACCCAGGTTCCCCGACAGCCAGCTCTCACCCCCTTTAGTTCTTTTTTGTTGTAATCAATGTTTTATTTTTTGTCTTTTTTTTTCATCTGTTCACTGCATTTATTAGTAATATTAAAAATTTTTACAAAAAAAATCATTCTCAGTTCTCCTGTGGCTCTCATCCCTCTTGCCTGAGCCCATTTCCTCAGGACCAGTTCAAAACTGAACCTGTCCGCTGCCATTTTCACAGAAAGCAACCAATGCAAGGGATGTAGCAGAAGGTTGGAAGAAGGCAACAGTATTATCCAGGTTCCACCCAAAGGTCAGCTGGGCGGAGAGTCACAGAATTCAGACAAAAGGGCTAGTGGCCTCACAGTGACATAGTCTAACGAAAGTGGGCTGGAGAGGAGATAGGGTAGCCCACCAGAGCCTTTAGTGAACACCTCAAAGCCTTGCATCAAACCCGGAAGAAACAATACCAGTAGAAAAATGGGGAGGACCAGGGAGGCAGTCTTCTGGAAAGTTCCATAACTCTCCCATGTTGGGAGGTGTGGAAAGTCTAGAGGGCACCAAGAGCCTCACTCATTTTTGGCAGAAAAAAAACTCTAGCATTAGGAAGTCACGAAGATGCCGCCCACATTGAGAAAGGCTACAGAGGGATGCACAGTTTGACAAGCACAGCAATCACAGACCAGAGTAGTGGGGATCACCACTACTGACACAGAAACCACAAAATGCAAGGGCAAGGAGAGTGGCCTTTCAGGGGGAAACTCCACTAGTGTCATTCAAACTTGAGCCCAGGTCAGATAACCTGGTGAGTACCACAGAGGAGCTGGCAACACTGAGGTGTTACATAAAAAGGACTCAAAACAAGCAGCTAGAAGAAGGGAATGGTAGGAAACTGCTCCAGGGCTCTTAGGAATTGAGGGTAGTACTGGGGATAGGTGCACAAGCAACAACACCAAAGAGGTTACTTGTTCAGCAGTCAGTTGGCGAGGGGGAAGAGGACCCAGGAGGCAGATGAAGGGAGCAAACATGGGGTCCTGAAAGCGAGTCTGGAGGCTGGATCAGAAGGAGTGCACACTGCGCCACTGATGAAACAACTCTGGACCCCAGGGGAGGAGTCAAGATGGCAAAGGAGTCAGGGGGCCCTAAGTTTGTCTCATCCCTCAAATACAACTTGATAGTTATCAAATCATTCTGAACACCTGAGAAATCAGAGTTCTGAGGAAACAAATACTGACAACTCTACAAGTAGGAAAGCAACCACCTTTTGGAAGGTAGTTGTTTTTGTTGTTTTTCCTTTTTCTTTCTTCTTCTCTGGACAAAATGATGAGGAGAAATTCATCCCACAAGAAAGAACAGGAGGTAGTACTCACAGCCAGGGATTTAATCAATATGGGTATAAGTAAGTTGTCTGAACGAGAATTTAAAACAATGATTATAAAGATACTAGCTGGGCTTGAAAAAAGCATAGAAGATACTAGAGAATCCCTTACTGTAGAAACAACTCTGAACCCCAAATGGGGGAGGCGGCAGATGCAGGTGGGTGTCACTGACAGGATGGTGGGGGGAACAGCCTCACAGTAGCCATCACAGGGCCACAGGGAAATACATGTCCTTCAGGTCATGGAGGGCTCTTCCCAGCCTGGACGGGAAGGCAGTCTCACAGAGGAGGTCCGTTGATGCCTGACTGGTAGAAGGCAGAGAGGTCCTCATATCAACAGTGGCCCTTTTTGGCTACGTGTCAGCATATAAGGCAGTTGGATTTGTCTTCCATAACCTGGAGTCCATCCTTGGGCAGGGAGATATTCTTTTTTTTTTTTTCTTATGATTTTATTTATTTATTTGACAGAGAGAGACACAGTGAGAGAGGGAACACAAGCAGAGGGAGTGGGAGAAGGAGAAGCAGGCTTCCCCCTGAGCAGGGAGCCCGATGCGGGGCTTGATCCCAGGACCCTGGGATCATGACCTGAGCCGAAGGCAGACGCTTAACGACTGAGCCACCCAGGCGCCCCAGGGAGATATTCTTGATAAGAGACCAGCTTTTGAGCCTTCGAGAGATTCTCTGCTCTTTGTGAAAGCCTCCCCTGGAGGGACCCCCATGGCCTGGTCTGGGAAAAGGAGATTCAGCCTCAGTCACCCCTACCAACCACAACCATTTGGGCCACACCAGGGGCCTTGGCCTCCCTGATTTGGGCCTTTGCCCAGGGGAGGAGGTGGGAGACTCAGCAGTGGTAGAATCATTAGTCCCCTTGATTCTGGAGGACCTCTGTAAAGAGCTGACTTGGGGTCATCAGGCTTTCCACTGGCCAGGAGGCTACGTGGTCCAATGGGACTCCATCCTTCTTATCTCGTTTCTTCCCTCCTGCTCTGGCAGTGAGGGCTGCTGCTTCTGATTCTGCTTCTTCAGCTTCGGCATCATGGTTGTGGCAATGGCTACAGTGGGATTCGGAGGGCGGTGAGGAAGGGGCCCGTTGGGATTGTTTCCTGTTTTCTGAACAGCGCCTGGCACATGACAGTAAGAATTTGTTGAAGGAAGGAAGGAAGATTACATTGAATACAAGCCAGACATTTGGCTAAAGTCTTCATATCTATTGTATTTTTCAACCTTTCTAATTATCCCATGGGTTTGGAATTATTTTGTCTACTTCAGAGATTTAACATGTAGATCAGAAATGTAGGGTCCTTTTGTAAAAAAAGATTTTATTTGGGAGAGCGCACAAGCAGGGGGGAGCAACAGTACAGAGGGAGAAGCAGGCTCCCTGCTGACCAAAGAGCCTGATGTGGGGCTCAATCCCAGGCCCCTGGGATCATGACCTGAGCCGAAGGCAGAAGCTTAACCTACCGAGCCACCCAGGCATCCCAGAAATGTAGGATCCTGATGGAATATCATTCGGTCAGAGCGGTGTACTCCATGTGTGTATTTAAACCAGTGCTCCTTCCAGTAATCAGGGAACGAATGAATGCACATCAGTGGGTCTGATGCTCCTTTCTCTCTCCTCTCTTCCTTTCTCCTTCTGTGTCTTTCATGTTGCATTCATACCAAGCGCCTACAGTGTGCTAGGAACAGTCCTACCTAGTGAGATATTCATAAAGAAGAACAGAATCTTGGAAAATAATAAGGGAGATGGGCAAATAAACTGACAAATTTCGATGGTGTGATTAAATCACACAAATTTACCTTCTAGACAAATATGAGTGAACAAATGTGTTTATCAACAGGGAAGCCGATGTGTCTGGTCAGAAATAGTTTCACAGAGGAAAAGTTGATCCGAGGCTTGCAAAGTAGGGGGAAATTCCCCAGGGGGAAGACCAGACTAGTGGGGGTTAATAAGGGCAGCATTTGTGGCAGACTGGATCCCTAAGAGCAGTCCTGTGGCTTCCAGAAAATTGTAAATTTGTCTATGGCTGGTGAACCAAGGTGTCATAAAGATACTTAAGGAGGCCTCAAGTCTGAACCAGCTGTTTGTAGCCAGTTAAGATGGTGGACACAAACCCCAAATATAAAATCATTCATTATCCTGAGAGCTGTGAAATGGGGCCCATCTCATTAATCCCTATATGCTGAGCCGAGCTCAGAGGTCTTGAAGTGGATTACACACTTGGAAAATGGAAAATGCTTGCTAGAAGAGTTTATATTTTATCCTTTGGGTGGTAGAGACATGCTTGAAGAATTAAGGCAGAGGAGAAAGCATGCTACGGTTACAGTTTGAAATAGCTCCTCTTCCCCCAGAGTGAAGAATGGATTTAACAATGGAGACAGGAAATAAGTTTGACAATCAGTGGAAAGTCAAGGAGGCTGAAACGTGGAAATGAGCATTTAAGAGACAGCATGCACATAGACTGATAGCATATGCACAGATGGGGTGTGGAGGACAACGGTGGCATGGAGAGGGAAAGAGATGAAACAGACAGGGGAAGACATGGCGGGTTTAGCCTGGATGGCTGGCCGATATTGGCGTTATCCAGCAGGAGGATTGGGTTCTAGCAGAATATAAGGAGTTCCCCCAGGGTTGGAGGTGTCTGTCTGAGATACCTAAGAATGGATATCTAAGAGGCAGCTTCCAAAGACTCCAGAGCTCTGGGGAGGAGAGGATGGGTCCCAGTGAAGGCTGGGAGATTTTATAGAGAAGATGGACATGAGTGGCAGACTGACTTTTGAGTAAATGGTTTGGTGTGATTCTAAAAGAGTGGGAGTTGAGAGAGAAGAAAACAGAAGTTAGTGGTGAAATACAAAGCGAATTATGTCCTAATATAGCCATTCCATATTCTTTGGGCTTAGAATTTCTCCTTAGAATTCAAGGCTGAATATATTTTTCCTTAAGATAAAGATATGGATTAGGTGCAGAGATAATGAGAAATCTCTGAATAACTTTGTCAACAGGGGACTAATTCTTGTAGATATCACAAGCATGGCAGATGGAGAAAGGGATTTATGATTTGGGTGTAGATGCCATATACAGGGCTACATATGTGCGGTCTTCCAAAACCAGCATTCATCTGCAGAGTGGTCTATACCTTCAGGAAGGACGTGAAAGTGTCAGTGACATAATGTGACTTTTCCAAAGCCTGGTTTTTGAACTCTAGACCTGTGCTTTTTTTTTTTTCTTAATAATTTTTTTATTGTTATGTTAACCACCATACATTACATCATTAGTTTTTGATGCAGTGTTCCATGATTCATTGTTAGTGCATAACACCCAGTGCTCCACGCAGAATGTGCCCTCTTTAATACCCATCACCAGACTAACCCATCCCCCACCCCCTCCCCTCTAGAACCCTCAGTTTGTTTTTCAGAGTCCATAGTCTCTCATGGTTCGTCTCCCCCTCCGACTTACTCCCCTTCATTCTTCCCCTCCTGCTATCTTCTTCTTCTTCTTCTTTTTTTTCTTAACATATATTGCATTATTTGTTTCAGAAGTACAGATCCGTGATTCATCAGTCTTGTACAATTCACAGTGCTCACCATTGCACATACCCTCCCCAGTGTCTATCACCCGGCCGCCCCATCCCTCCCACCCCCCACCACTCCAGCAACACTCAGTTTGTTTCCTGAGATTAAGAATTCCTCATATCAGTGAGGTCATATGATATATGTCTTTCTCTGACTGACTTATTTCACTCAGCATAACACCCTCCAGTTCCATCCACGTCATTGCAAATGGCAAGATCTCATTAGACCTGTGCTTTATTCTCCTCCTCTGTGAAAACCAAAAGTAGCAGCTGTGGAATGTGAATGTGTGTGTGTGTGTGTGTGTGTAATATATAAATCTGTGTTTTTCTAAAGTTATATTATTATTATAAATTATGTATGCATATATTTAACATGTGTCTAATGTGCATAAATGTGTGTATTTTATCGGCAGAGGCTAGGGGTAGCAATCAATTATGTACTGTGGGATGAAAAATATTTTCCTAGACAGATATACTCTCCTGGGTCATGGAAGCAAAATAGGCATTTTTGAGAGGAAGGAAAAAAGATGGGAAAGGAATTCCAGGCAGAGGGAAGAGCTTCAATTTAGGCATGTTAGGGAAATCCCAGCAGTGGTAATGAGGGGATCATGGGGAGTTGAGGGAATGAAACCCATCATGAAGGTACTAGGTGTGTGGTTCAGAATTTTGGGCTTTATCTCCAGACCTAACAGACTTTCCTAGGTGTCATATGGAATGTCAGTGATTTTGAAATTAAGCCTAAAACAAATCATCTTACTCTTCCTTCTGCCTTATGAAAAAAGCAATGGTGAAGTTTTCATGACATCACTTGTTTTAACTAATTCTCAATGTTTTACCTACTTAGATTTGGTTTCAAAATCGGAGATCCAGATTCCATGTCCAGAGAAAAAGAGAACCTGATGATCAAGACTCAGAACAGAGACAAGACCAGGAACAGAATCTCTGGGATGAGAGAGTTCAAGGTAATCACCCTGTTGTTCCCATTTTGGCTCACAAGCAGAGCCTCCTGACTGTCCAGTCCTTCCACATGGTGGAGTCAACTCCAACTATCTCTTGGGAAGTAGAAGATATTCCTACTCAAGTGTCTTATCAGGTTCCATGGAGTAAGGGGATTGGTTATAGTCTCTGAAGGCTCTTCCCAAGTCAGGGGTCCCCCCCAAGGAATTCCACTGGCCATTTTTCCAGCCGGAGTCCAGATACCCCAGTAGCATGTGCATTTTGGTCACTGATGTCTTCTCAGTGCCTGGTACATAGTAAACAATTGGTAAATTTTGTGGAAGGTATGGTCGACTTAATGGAAGAATCAGTCCTTAGGTGTGTTCTGCCAGGGGCCGCCTCGTGCATGGCTTTCCCAGGAGGTAGTAAGTTCCATGTTGGGCTAGAAAAGGCGGGAGCTGAGTTTACTTTCATGTTTGAACGTATAAACTGGCTTCTTCCAGTCCCCCGTAGGCACAGAAACTACACGAGATGACACCAGTCTCACTCTCAGCTGCCTTATTTCTCCAGCGCAAATGCAGGGTGGCCAGAGAGACATTCAGTATATTTTATGTCTTCAGCCTGGGCTCTAAATCTCTCTCACTCTTCTTGGGAATATGTCATTCTAAACATACCTTCAGCTTTTCCAGAAGCCGAGCCTGCTGGAGATGGTAAACAGAACTTCAGGAGCCAGAGACAGATAGATATGGCACCACATAGCCCTACTGACTGATCGTAGATCCAGAGTGCAGCAGATCTTGAGGACAATGAAAATAAACTGATCAATAGCATTTTTCAGTCATCATAGTAATTGTGCTTTTCAGTAAGAAACATTTATTTGGTCTTCATCCCCATTTCTGGCACAGAGCTTCTCAAACCTTTGGAATTTCCAGTGATTAGAGAAATTAGAGTTCTTCCTCCCTGAACTCCAGGAAGCGGGGAGGGGCTGGAGGTTGAATCATTTGCTGATGGCCAACGATTTATTATTTTTTATCTTAATTCCAGTATGGTTAACATACAGTGTTATATTAGTGTCAGGTGTACAATACAGGGTTTCAACAATTCTATACACTATTCAGTGCTCATCGTGGTAAGTACTCATAATCCTCCTCACCTATTTCCCCCATTCCCTCCACCTCCCTTCTGGTAACCATCAGTCTGTTTTCTATAGCTAAGAGTCTGGTTTTTTGTTTCTCCTTTTTCCTTTGTTCATTTGTTTTCTTTCTTAAATTCCACATATGAGTGAAATCAAATGGTATTTGTCTTTCTCTGACTAGTATATTTTAACATGTGGCTTTTTAAAAAGTTTGTTAAAAAGATTTATTTATTTGAGAGATAGAGAGAGAGAGAGAGAGTGCTCTCCCAAGCACTTGAGTGGGGGTGGGGCGCACAGAGGAAGAGAGTCTTTCAAGCAGACTCCCTGCTGAGCTCAGAGCCTGACACGGGGCTCAATCCCACGACCCATGAGATCATGACTTGAGCTGAAACCAAGTCGGCTGCTTAACCGACTGAGCCACCCAGGTGCCCCCTCTTTTTAAAAAGTTTTTATTTTTATTTTTTAGTAATCTCTACCCCCAACATGGGGCTCAAACTCACAACCCCAAGATCAGAGTTACATGTTCTACTGACTGAGCCAGCCAGGCACCCCTTGATTTATTTCACTTAGCATGATACTCTCTAGATCCATCCATGTTGTTGCAAATGGCAAGATGTCATTCTTTTTTATAGCTGAGTAATATTCCATTATATATATATTATTCCATTATATATAGTCTTTATTTATATTTATTATTTATATTTATTATATATTCCATCTATATATATGGAATATATATATTCTATCATATATATACTTTATCCATTCATCAGTGGATGGACATTTGGAATGCTTCCATAATTTGGCTGTTTTAGGTAATGGTGCGATAAACATAGGGGTGTATATATCTTTTCAAGTTAGTGTTTTCTTATTCTTTGGGTAAATGCTCAGTAGTAGAATTACTGGGTCATATGGTAATTTTATTTTTAGGAACTACATTTTCTAAGGAGTTCTCTTCTATATGTAGCATGTACTATCATGTGAAAAAAAAAGTTAACACACTGCCAATTTTCCTAAGAAGAGAAAAGGATTTTTAAATATTTGGTAAAATAGACATAACATAAAATCTGTTGCCATTTTAATGATTTTTAAGTGTACAATTGAGAGTATTAAGTACATTCACACTGTTGAGAAAGCGTGACCACTGTCCGTTTCTAGAACTTTTTCTTTTTTTTAAAGATTTTATTTATTTATTTGACAGAGAGGGAGAGTGCACAAAGAGAGGGAGCGGCAGACAGAGGGAGAAGCAGACTCCCTGCTGACCAAGGAGCCTGACGCGGGACTCGATCCCAGGACCCGGGGATCAGGACCTGAGCCAAAGGCAGACGCTTAACGACTGAGCCGCCTAGGTGCCCCTATATTTGACGTTTCTAAGTGACCTATTCCTTGACTTGCTTGTTTTATAAATAATCTTAAGTGACTTTCTGGAGACCCCCTCAGGGGCTGCATTCTTTAGGCAGTATTTTCTTTTTTAATAATTAAGTGTAATTGTAGTAAAATAAATAGAACATAAAATGTACTATCACAACCAATGTACAGTTCCATGGTATTAATTACATGTATGTTTTTCAACCAGCGCCACCATCCAACTCCATAATTGTTTTCCCCTTGCAAAACTAAAACTCTATACTGCAAAACAATAACTTCCCATCTCCCTTCACCTCAACCTGTGGTAACCACCATTCTACTTTCTTTCTCTATGAATTTGACTATTCTAGGTATCTCATATAAATGGAATCATACAATATTTGACCTTGTGTCTGACTTTTTTTCCCATAGCATTATGCCTTCAAGGCTTATCCATCTTATAGCCTGTGTCAAATTTGTCTTCCTTTCTAAGGCTGAATAATATTCCATTATATACATATACCACATTTGCTTTATTCATTTATTCATTGATGGACACTTAGGTTGCTTCCATCTTTGGGCTATTGTGAATAATGATGCTATAAACCTGGGGGTACAAATATCTGTTTCAATCTCTGTTTTCAATTCTTTGGGTTATATATCCAGAAGTGAATTGCTGGACCATATGATGAAGAATTTTTAAAATAAACAGATATTATGAAGCAGATATTTTATTATTTTTAAAAAACATTTTATTTTTTTAAACTAGGCTCCACACCCAACGTGACCTCGAACTCATGACCCCAAGATCAAGAGTCACATCTCTACTGACTGAGCTAGCCCGGTGTCCCTGAAGCAGATATTTTAAAAAGTAAAATATCTGGTCAAATAGGGACTTCTACAAGGAGTGTGGTAATTTTAAATATGCTAAAATTTCATACCCAGTTAATAAAGTTACATTCTAGGGC